GAGAGAGCTGAAAAGCTATTGGGGTCGACATGTTCACAGGCTGTGTTTTCTGCTGGGGATTCAAACAGACATTTGATTGATCTGAGCCATACGGAGGAATTTAAAATCAACTAAATCTGGAAAAAAGTTCACATCTGACCTCAGAATCAGCAGATTTTAAACATTGCATTAGGTTTACTCTATTTCAAGAAGCCATGTATCTTCATGCTATAAATATCTAGTACATAGGTGCAGTGTTAAGTTAAGAAGGCAGCCACGTGACATGTTTTTCCAGATTAGGAAATGCTGCTGCCTGTGAGCTGTAAGCATGAATGAAACTTACTTCACAATTTTTTTCTCTGTATCAGCAGAAATGTCGTTGTTGCAAAATTGAGGCTGTACCTAATTTTTACCTACATTTTCATCTCGCAGCTGTTTTTGGAGGTATATAGACATGTTAATTTGTGCAACAACGTCAGCTTTCACATGATCAGTCTGGCTTACAGAGAGACTCGGGATCAGTGGATGATCAGAGTACCAGGTGACACATGAGGAACTGGAGGTTCTGTTCTAAAAGGTTGATGTGGACTTCATATAAAACACGACTGATGAATTTTGGCTGCAGAAAAGACGGCAAAAGGTAAACTGGATGAGGTGTGAGATACACGAGCCTATGTGCTTAACCTCCACACATCCCAGCTGTTGGGCCATGAATGCATTTTAGGATGTGACAGAGTATGCACACTTCAAATCCACTATAACCAGTTTCTTCCTTCCGGCTGCTTCCTTTTCGTTGCCACAGATTTCCTGATGCAATTTATGCCTTCCCCCCAGTTTCAAAATAGGGGTTTTTCATGTGTCAACCACTACACTGTGGAGCCACAGACTCACACATAACCTATATGTAAAAATGTTGGGGGGGTTTCTTGTTCCTGTTACTTGTGCACCAGAGTACGATGCATGTCTGACAGTCAAAGCTGCCTGATCGTTCAGTACGAAGGAAATATTTTTTGGTTCTCGTCAGGAAAAAACGTCTTTCACAACATGCCAACCACCTCCAGAACCTGCTGGCAGAGACAGACAGGGCTCTGAGAACAAAGACACAAAACCTTCCCAATCTGCGGTGGCTGCAAAACAGCAGACTCCATTACCATCTGGATCCGAGCACAAAGACTTTTGTTTAAAGTTAGGGAAAAAAACAAAAAGAAGCAGGAGAGAGATTAATATTCCCCTGTTTCCATAAACTCCTCTATGCTGTCCTCTAATTTGGAGAGCTGCTATTTTAGACACAACACTGGCTAAAGTCCAGATGACACTCGATCCCTATAACAGTTTCTCCTGTGCAGATGACTGCCATAAACTGTGTTTGATAAAGCAAGGAGGGAGAGATCACGTTTACTCAGATGAGAGTCAGTATTTCACGTTCAAGGCTCTTTCTCCTTGAGCTACTTGTGCATAACCATTTCTGCAAGTAAGTCATGTTTTTGTAGCATCACACTTTGTCTTTGCGAGTCCCGCCCCTCCCCCAAGAGTCCTTAGTAGGGCCAAGATTTGTTATAGCTGGATTCATCAGATGCTCCTGCTGAGGTGCCATTTCCACTGTTTCATACAGTTTCATCATGATTTAAATCACACGAGACATAGTAAGATTACTGACAGCTTTATAAGCGAGAGGACGGGACCATGCGTAGGTGTATGTTTATGTGTTAGGGTTCATTTTCAGTGTCTACCTACCGATTTGCCTCTCCGGAAAAGGAGCTGATTTCCCGCCAAGGTGAAGTAGCGGGTTTTCCAGCGCTTAATGAACTTCCAGCGAACCTGTTTCTCTTTCAGCTTCCCCTCGATCAAAGGCTGTCCCTCCTGGTTTACGACTATAGATAGCACACAAACACACGACAAACGTAAAGGAAAGAATGAAAAAAATTAATTAATTAACAAGATATTATACTTATTATACTTTGCAATTAACCTAACATGTCGGTCACTCTGATGTCCTCACAAGCTGGTAAAGCAGAATCAATGCTTCAATCAGGTAAAAAAAAAGCACCAAGTTCGTGACCTATGCTGTCAGCAGGTAAGAGATGTTAGAGAAAGCTTGTCCGTCTAATAAGTCATGCAGAGGTCGGTATGGGTTACCAGCCAGCTGCTACAGCTGATGGAGTCCACACATTCAAGCTAAAATCCAACTGATTTCTTTCTTTCTGTTTCTGTCTCCATCTTCTATGACTCTCAAGTACTGTGCAAAAGGATTTGGGTGTGCAAACATACATGGAATTGCATTATATAAGGCATAAACACAGTGTACAATTCTAACAAGCTTAAAAGTCAATATTTGATGTGACTTCAGCAAAGTCTGAACTCTCTTAGGTGTGGTTTCTTGTAAGCAGTCTTCACGAATAGTTCTTTAGACTTCTTGAAGGACATTCAAAGCTTTTTGTTCTGTTAAGATGATCCCACACTGCTTCAACAATGTTGAGGTCCGGGCTCTGGGGAGGCCTGTTTATGACTGATCGTGTTTTTCTATTAAGGTATGTTTTTATCACATTGTCAGTACGTTTGGGATCATTATCATGCTGAAAAATGAAGCTGTTACCAATCAAACATTTTCTAGATGGTATTAGACAGTGGATCAGAATCTGATGGTGCTTTTCAGCATTCTTAATTTCAAGAGTTTTGACACGATCCCAAACACCACTGGTTGAAATGCACCTGCAAACCATGATAGAGCCTCCACCATGCATTTTAATCACGAGTTCAGCTTCCCACTATTAAATGAGCATTATAATAGTGCAACAGGAAGTGCTCCCGAATCAAGTGCCTTCAAATACCAATCACAACCGTTCCCTGCATCGTGCAGCTTTCCTGCAGGTTTCCAGGAAGTTAAATTGGAACTGACACATAACGGATATTGTGTTGCTGTGAGAAAATGACCTGGCAGGTTAAAGACCGTTTCAATCCCAACCTGACTAAATCAGACATCAGTGTCATAATGCACTGCATAATGTCTCGAAGTGTTCGCGCCTGCAGCGCATGTGTGCAAACAGTTCCTGTGTACTCTAAGCGCTCCGTGGGCATGTTTTGGCATGTTCAGGTTTGGCGCCAGTTTAGAGAGAAAGAGGAGCGAACAGAGCAGCCCTTTGTATCCGCCATATCGTGGTTAAAAACAGATTAGGCAATCTGATCAGTGTTTGGAGTGTGGCCTCCATGCTGAGCAGATGACTCCCAAAGGGGTTTGAAACCAAACCAAACACACCACGAAAGGTCATGGCAACCCCAAATCAGAAGAGAGGAGAGCAGAAAGAGGGGCTTCTTTGCTGCTTTTCTGTTTCCACATTATTTCCTTTCCTTTTATGGACAACAGAGAAACCAAAGACAGCATTTTAAACACATTATTTCAGGCGTGATAACTTTTTACTGGTATTTAATAGTATGTTTTGACAATTTATAAATAAAATAATGAAAATCATTTATGACAGCACAACAATATAGAAACACATTGTTACGCAGGGCTGTGGAACACCGATTACTGCAGTCCTGCCACTGTGGGCAACTAGGCTGAGTGCTTCATCTAACAAACATTTTGATTTTTAAAAAGTCCTTTGATGCATAAATCCTCGTGTCTCATCACTTCGCTTTGATGTAGACACCTGGAATGGTAACCTTTGTTGTCCGCCCCAGGCGTGCGCAGTGGCTTTCAGTCTTTCATTGGAGACACGCTGATGTCAAACGAGCAAAGACACAGCTAATAAAACACACACACACATACAGTACACTAAATCATAAGCAAATACAAAAGGTCCACAGTAATGTGCAGAAACCGGAAGGTTTTGCATGGAGCTGTTGTTTAGTTTGCTTTCCATGTGTAGTCAGATCACCCATTTTAGTGCCAAACCTGACAAGACCCCCTCTGCATATGGCTCTTGATCAATGACTGCAATGTTATGGGAGTGACAGGATTTCAAAAATGGGAAATGAGTCATGTCTCCAACCCAAATGATTTCCAGAAACATCTCCTACAAACAACCCTAATTTCTCCCTCAGGCCTAGACATATATATTAAAAGAAACCCTCTACAAGCTCTGGAGTTAGCTTTTATAACGTGTAACTGCTTGATACTTTGATGGTTTGCTGTTTTTGGCTTCACGACCACACGATCAACTCAATATTAGGTGTGAGTAGAGCAGGGACACGTATCCTGAACACAAACGCAAAATCTCAAATTACTCACTGTGATGTTAGCAATTCAGTCTCCATGTAAGTGACCCTATTAGAAGGCTTTAAATTATTATATATTATTACTAACTTATTGTATAATAATTTAAAGCTGTATCACCAACCACAAATGTCTTCTTATGGTTTAAATATAATTTCCATGGAAAATGATATCACTAGTGGTTCCTGGAAATTCGAGCAAGGGTGAGTTAAAAAAAAAAAGAGAGAAAAGAAAACAACAACAATGGTGCAAGTAGAGACAAAACTTTCAGCACGTTCTATTCTCGTGAAGCACCCAGGCATTACACAAACTGTAAACACAGAGGTGGTTACAGAGTCCAGAGACAAACGCTACGTGGCACACAGAGAAAAATAAAGATTTCACAGGACTCAGTGCGGTCAAGTGAAAAATGTCCTGTGATTCGGTAGCTTGTAGAACCACTTTTAGCAACGATGACTTGAGTAATCGTTTTCTGTAAGAGTTTATCGGTGTCTTGCATTGTTGTGGAGCAATTTTGTCCAGCTTCTCTTTACAGCGTCGCTTCAGTTTATTGAAGTCTGGGTGCATTGGTTTATGCGCAGCTCTCTTACTGGAGCTTTATATTTTGGTGTTAAATCTAGATTATACCCCAAATCCCCCTACAATGTGACCTGCACCATAATCTGACGTGCACCTGCCTACAGATGTATCTACATGTCATGTGGACATTGCAATTCCTCTTTTCAGTACCATCGATTCCTCCCTTGCATTTCCAGCTACATTTTCGCCACAGTTTTTGAATGGATCGGTAGAAGAAGAATAATCATTTAGTCAAAATGAGGACTATTCCTAAGGTCATGTCTCCAGGCCATGTCCCATGATTTTCTTACATCTCAGGGATGTAAGAAAATCCCTGGAAAAGATGCACAAAGAAGTGGATTTTTTATTTATTTATTTTTTAAAAGTCAACAACAAAGCTGAGCCCAGCATTTGTATTTGTTTCTATCGGTCATGGTCATGTCAGTCGTGATCATTTACATGTAAAATGCAAGCATGAATGCTAGCAGTGATGGCACCTTGGTGGCAGTTATGAATAGGTTAATGCACAGACTCACTGCAGAAGTTCGATTCAGCTATTATCCGGTTGTTCAGTCTGACGTCACTAGCCATGTCTGGGCCTAAACTCCGCTGCAGGTCCATATATCAAGCGATCACTATGGCATTACTGAGAGTTGAAAAACTGTCTAAAGTCTTTCATCTTTAATAAAATGATCAGCGTTCTGCTCTACCAGGTGTAACAATTGAGTTTAACATCCAGGCATCCATGAAAACGGAATTTATGACATTTAACGGAGTTAGAAGTTAGCAGGGAGTTAGCTCGCTAGCTTCTATCTAAATACAATATAGCATGTCCTGACTGCGGGGTTTTGGAAACAAATTAAAACGTACAGCTCTGTTATCACTTCCAGCATAAATGAAGACAGAAAACTAAACAGCAGTGACGTTTGTAGGGTTACTGAAGTTTGGCTAGCTGGTATATAATGATGTGCTACGTGACCGCTAGCAACACAGCTATGTTAGCATAATATAAACAAGCTAACTTTTTTTCCACTCGATAAAAGTTAACATGAGTGTTCTCGGTGGTCAGGAACAAATGTAATCGCATGGCAGGATGCTGTAAAAGCACCAAACTTCAGCCAGGAGAACAACTGAGATAATCCATCCACAATACGAGGTTAGTCATTCATATACTGCTGCATGGGCTGGGCTGCAGATGGGCTACATCCTAAGGTTTTAAAAACTGAGCTTAAATAAATGATTAGCGGTAATAAAAGCCGAGGGAGGTCAACAGTGATCACTGACTGTTTTAGGAGATTTTTGAGATTAAATAGAAGAAAATACAAAACATTAAACATGTTAACAACACAAAAGCCATATTAAACGCAGACTACTTTAGGCCCGGAAGTAGGATTCGTCACGTCATCACTTAATGACCGGATTGTCCCAGTCGGATTGACGTCTGCACATTGACTTGATTCTTTTCTTTCTCAGTCATTCTGTTGTAGATTTGCTGACGTCCTTGGAATCACTGCATGATTGCATGACGCATCAAAGCTTTATCTGTCAGACAGATGGCCTCACATTTGAGTTTAGAATACTTTGGTACACAGAGGAGTTCGTGGTCGATTCAATGACTGCAAGGTGCCCGGGTCCTGTGGCTACAGAACATCATCACCTCTCCACCACAGTGTATGACAGTTGTTGTGAGGTTTTTGTGCTGACATGATGTGTTTGGTTTTTCCAAACATGTTGCTGTGTGTAACTGTCAAACATCTCCATTTTGATCTTATCTGTCTAAAGAACTGTGGTCCAGAAGTCTCCCAGCCTCTTAATGATACTGTCATGAACTTTAATATTTAACAGTGAACTGAGGCCTGTAGAGTCTGAGATGTAGCTCTTGGGTTTTTGCAGTTTTTCTGATCACTGTATGGTCGAATTTTACCCTTTTAATTCCTGTGGAAGCAGTAAGTGTGTACTTAGTTATTCACAGGACTGCATATAACATAATGTAGTATATACATGCACCACTAGCACCGTTTCCAAATAAGGCTTCACCAAACCTAATGCCATATCCTACCTACAAGTGTCCCGTTACACATTGATCGTACTTCATTTTGT